AAACATGACCATACATTTTAACAATTTTTTAAAATTATTGATGTGAATTTTAAAGTCAGCCTTTAGCATTAATTGTGGTGCCAACTACACAATTTACTACGTCTGTGTAGAAGCCATCTCCCAGATAAAATGCAAACAGCTACTTCTATTTCAAGGACCGTAACATATTCCCCCACCCCCTCCCCCATTTATTGAAAATGAAAATACCCTCAAACAGATCTCTTGTGTCTCCCGCACCTCTGCCCTCACATCCCCTCCCCCCAACAAAGACAGAATCCCCCTTGTCCGCACAATATCACCCCACTAAACTCCGCATCCAACGTATCATTCTCTGCCACTTCCACCACCTACAATCTGACCCCACAACCAAAGATATATTTCCCTCCCCACCCCCTATCTGCCTTTCGTAGGGACTGCGCTCTCCGCATCTCCCTCATCCGCTCCATACTCCCCACTTGCCCCACCATCCCTGACACCTTTCCCTGCAACTGCAGGAAGTGCTACACCTACCCCTACACCTCCCCCCTCACCTCCATCCCAGGCACCAAACAAACCTTTCACATCAGCCAGAGGTTCCCCTGCACATCCGTCAATGCATCCGCTGTTCCCGATGTGGCCTCCTCTACATCGGGGAGACCAAACGGAGACTCAGAGACCAGTTTGTACAGCACCTGCACTCTGTTCACGACAAACAACACCTCCCAGTCGTGAACCATTTCAACTCCCCCTCCCACTGCCCGGGGAACATGTCCATCCTGGGCCTCCTCCAGTGTCACCGCCACCCGGAAACTGGAGGAGCAGCACCTCATATTCCGCCTTGGGAGCCTACAGCCCAATGGTCTCAATGTGAACTTTACCGGTTTCAAAATCTCCCCACACCCAGCCTCATCCCATGACCAACCCTCCCTCTCCTTGACCTGATACAACTTGTCCATCTTCTCTCTCACCTATCTGCGCCTCCCACCTCACTGACCAATACGCACCACTGCCTACCTGCACTCCCCTATCACCATACCACCTACCTTCCCCAGCCCCATCCCTCCTCTCTCTGTTTATTTCAGATCTTCCTTCCCCTCCACCATTTCTGAAGAAGGGTCCCAACTCAAAACGTCAACTTTCCTGCTCCTTTGCTGCCTGACCTGCTGTGTTCCTCCAGCTCCACACTTTGTTATATTTGTCAAGCATTGTTCTTTCCTGTTAATAATCATTTTTCTTCCTGTGAAGCAGATAGCTGTGCAGTTTTGAATTGGTGGGAAGATTTGAAAGTAAATTCTTGTAAGGCAACATAACTCGTATTTATATAGTGCCTTTAAATTCTAGTAAAACTCCGAAACTTTTGTATTAGGATACAAGACTTGGACAGCCATCTCAAAAAGATATTGGTACAGGTGACTTGTCAGTTAAGTTTGAAGGAGCATCTGAAATGATGGGAGGGGTAGAGGGGTTTAGAGAGGGAATTCCAAGTCTTGGAGGCCAAGCATTGTGGTAATGGTAGACTGAAGGAAATTGGGGATCAACCATAGGCTGGAACTGGAGGGTAGTAGAAGTATTGGCAGGCTGTTGATGGGAAAGTTACCAAGGTACAGGAGCCTGGAGGGAGTATCATGTTACCACATTGGATGTCTCTTCCAGATTTCTTAATGCCATAAAGAAATGGGACATGACCAAATGGGCACCATTACCAAAAGCCTATGATCATAAACCTGTTGCAGAAAACACGTAGCTTGAAGAAATAATTGAGAACGTCTCGCTCTCACTTCCACATTGAAGAGTTAACTTCTAACCTTGAAACTATAATGACATCTGGTTCTCTAAACTTCCACATGGCCTGGATTAATCATCCATGAAACAGAAGTTCAAATTTCAGAGTTTAGAGAATTCAGAACTTGTTTTAAAACAAACTGGAAAGAAAACATTCAGATTCTTGTAACAACCCACCTGGTTTGTGATGACATCTTTTAAGGGAAAGAAACCTACTGTACTTGCCCGATGTGTGACTCTGTCTCAAGGCTGAGCAAACTGTAGAAAAAGTAGGTAGTATGTCACCACAAGGACTTCAGCTGTTTAAAGATGGGGCACGTTATTGCCAAATAGTGAGTGGATAATGAATGGCAATCATGCCAGCGATACCCATGACTCAGAACTTTCCCTGTCCCCTTTCAAAGCTTAATTTTTACGGTCCCATTGAAGAATTGTTCTTTGCTTTTTTTGACCATATCACTTGTTCACCAGTGATTTTTCTGGTGACTCTCAGTTCATTGAATTCAGTACAGCATCCCTGGATGTGATCTGATTTAACAAATAGGCTTTAAAATAAAAGTCTGGATGCTGATGATCTGAAATAAAAATGAAGTTGTGGAGAAATTCAGGACTGACAGCATTTGTGGGGAGAGGAACAAAGTTAGTGTTTTGAGCCTGATGTGATTCTTCACATCGGGAACATTTTAACTTTGTTTCTCTTTCCACAAATGCTGTTGGACTTGTTGAGTTTCTCCAGAACTTAGCTTATTTGCTAAATAAAAATGGTTTGAATTTATAGAGTCTGTGTCATACAGCACAGAAACAGACTCTTCGATTCAACTTGTCCATGCTGACCACACATCCCAATCTGACCTAATCCCATTTGCCAGCATTTGGCCCATATCCCTCTTAAACCCTTCCTATTCATGGACCCATCCAGATGCCTTTTAAAATGTTGTAATTGTACCAGCCTCCACTAATTCCTCTGGGAGACCATTCCATACATGCACTATCCTCTGCATTGAAAAAGTAACCCCCTTAGGTCCTTTTGTTTAAATCTTTCCCCCTCTCCTTAAACCTATGTCCCCAAGTTTTGGACCCACCCACCCACTCTAGGAAAAAGATCTTGGCTATTCACCCTATCCATGCCCCTCACAATTTTATAAACTACAATAAAGTCACACCTCACCTCCGACGCTCCAGGGTAAAAGCCCCAGCCTATTCAACCACTCACTACAGCTCAAACCTTCAGTCCTGGCAACATCTTTGTAAATATTTTCTGTGCCCTCAAGTTTAACAACATCCTCCCTATAGAAGAGTAATCAGAGTTGTTTTCATTATCCCAAAGGTGGCCTCACCAATGTCCTGTACAGTTGCAACATGACTTCTCCAGGCAAAATTCAGCCTAAAATCAAGTCAGCACACTTCTTTGTTTCATAGTCCTTTTCGCTCATTTTCATTGACTTTCTTCATGTGTTGTCATGGTTTACAAATAATGTTTTCCCCTCTGGACTACTTGCACCATTTCCTTTCCAAGCACACTCATTTCTTTTCACAGATTCCTTGGTCTCTGTAATTTCTAAATTTCACACTCTGTCTATCAGCAACATCTACAAACATTTAAAATATACCCTATAAAGCTCCTGATGTTTCAGGACATTTAAGAGGGTTAGTAAATTAAGGAATTGATGTAGAGTCCAGGAAGGACATGTCTGGGCAGATGACCAAACAATGCTTGGTTTAAAAAATATTGTCAGAGGAGAACGTTCAGGTGAACTGTAATCCTTGGAGTTCAGGCAGTGTGAACTCTTGAACAATGAAGGCTGAAGCCAGAATGCTAACTTGATTTGTTGGGGAAATGTGTAAGCAAAGGCTTAGGAAATGGATAGATATAGTTAAGGGTCATACTGACATATAGGAGATTGGGGATGTGGGGAGTGGAATCATAGCTGGGGAGAGACAAAGGCAATTGAGTTCCAGCAATGGAGGGGAAGAAACTAGGTGTTTCGAAGCCAGTGGATCTTTACTGCATGTTTGTGGAAATCCAGTTACCAAGGAGGACAGAACTGGAGATGAGGGATGAGTGTAAATCAGAAGCATGGGTCCTCTTCTGCATGACAGGAAGAAGCAGGAGACAAGCTCATGGAGATAACTTGAGCACAAAAGTTATCATATCACATTACAAAAAGACAAGTTTGTGTTGGGACCCATGCAAGTTCCCATAGTGATTTCTTTCAATTTGGAGCATTTTAATAGAATGGTGAGTTTTTTTTTAGATGACTAATACAGCCAGGTGGAGGAAAGAGACTGGGTCATTTGAATGTTTGGGGAATGGTTGAGAAATTGTGCTAAGACTAGCATGTGCTGAGTAAGATAGAACAGGGATTTCTGAAATTGTTAGAGGGGTCATAGATATATTGATTAGTGATTGGCCTTTGAGGATATGCTGTTTAAATGGGCAGGAGCAGGCTAAGGGCGACCAGGTTGGGGACTGACCTACATTGTATCTTGGGCTGGAAATAGGTGCAAAATGAAAAGCTGGGGAGCAATGAGGTTGAAGGTGGCACTGCTGAAATTAGCAGCAGGCGAGAACAAGCTTAAATGGTCAGCTCCAGCCAGATAGGAAGCTTTCCACAGTATCTCACTGTCTGCCAAAGGAGGATTCGTTGTGTCCAAGTTGATCTTTGACCTATTGTTTAAGGAGGTTCACCATGTCTCATTCTGCTGTCACTTTCTCTATTTGTTTGTTAACCTGATTTCGCTCCCAGTCTGGCAACGTCTTTATCTTTTAGAAAGAAAAGTCTCATCCTAATGGCCAAATTTTTATTCACATACCTGTCCTATTATCTCCTTGTGTTAATTGACAATGCTCCCATGATGCAGTTTGGGATTATTTACCACACTTAAGAGGCTTTTTAAATGCAAATGTGGTAGGCAAATTACCTCTCAAAAACTATAATACCCAGCTTCCTCCGTTTTGATCATGGTAATAAAAATTCCAATCTTCCCTTGAGTATCTTTAATATGATGTAGCAACAAACTCTCAACTCCTTTGCAGAATGTATCATTTTTGATTCACAACGTGTAGGAGATGACAGCTAACTGCAGCTGCATTCTCGTACCTGGTGAGGCTTCTCCTGGAGGTGTTTTTGGCAAAGAAACCTACATAACTAGGAAAACTAACAATGTTCCTCTGAAATTTTCACTTCTGTACTAGCCCGATTCTAAAGAAGCTTTTTCCTCTCATTTTTGATTTACAGGATGTAAAATAGATAACTGTGATACGTGTTTCAGCAAAGACTTTTGCACAAAGTGCAAAGCTGGTTTTTACTTGCACAAAGGCCGCTGTTTTGAAGAATGTCCTGAAGGCTTTGTACTATTACAAGATCACATGGAATGTGTGGGTAAGTGATTTCACGTAACACCTCTTACAGAGGGGGTGGTGAATGTTTTGAGCAGTTGGTTCTGTTTAAGATTTATTAATACCTCGTGCCCAGTTTAATAAATTTGAGTTGTGTTTTCTTGCGATTTGTGACTGTTAGAGAGAGAGTGGCTATGTGTGTCGCTGGCTTCTTTATATCAGAAAATTAGTGTGTACAGTGGCCGTGACATATGTGGTGTTTTTTTTGTCTGAAGCTGCCAGCAGTGACAAATTTGTACACAAAAATTTGTCGTAAAATTTTTCCACAGGCAGAATGGGCGTTTGAACAAATACATTTTGCAAATGTGTAGAGCTGCTAAAGAGAAACAAAATATATAGTTCTCTGTTTTGACAGCTCCAATTGACTCCTAACATCGACAATTTCTTAGAGAAGAGAATCCCAGAGTTTCTCAGCCCATTGTCTGAAGTCCTTTCTGATTTCGCTCCCAAAATGGTTTGTTTAAATTATGTTCCTTGCTTATAATCCCCTTTTTGAAGAAATAACCTTCACAGATCCTTTAGTCACTTCAGACACCTCAATCAGATCAAATCTTGATGTTCTAAACTTGATTGAATGCTAGCCAAGTTTATGAAAACAAAATTTATGTGACAGCAATGTTCTGGTGAATCTGTATTGTGCACTCCCCAAGGCCAATATATCACTATAACTTTATATTGTGGAAGGCCTGAACTCTGCATGCTCTGCAACTGAAGTATCCCTTCTGCACTCTTTGAATCCCATTATACAAGGGGAAAAGACATGTCTTTGAATTTGCTGCAAATATGTACCATCTCTGAAGCTCATTATAAAGCTCCTATTAAAATTTTAAACTTTTTGTAATCCTTCAATGCTAAAAATGAGAAGAATTACTTACTTCACTGCGTGTCAGGCAAGCAGAGCAGAAACTCCCTTTGTCATCATGAGAAGCTTACCCCTTAGAAAATGTTGTTGTTCAATTGATTTTTTTTTTGTGCACCGTTGTATTTTCTTTGACTGCATCAATCACATCTTGTTTGTGTTATATGTTCAGATGGTTGTGACGTAGGACCATGGAGCAACTGGGGAACATGTATAAAAAACAACAAAACATGTGGCTACAAATGGGGGCTTGAAACCAGGACACGCCAAATTGTGAAAAAGCCAGCAAAAGACACTATACCTTGTCCAACTATTGCAGAATCTAGGAGATGTAAAATGGCAAAAAGGCATTGTCCAGGAGGTAAGGTATTCCCTGAAAATCTAGAAAGTGCACTAATCATCTTTGCGTCACAACCTTTGAAAGTCTGGCACTAAACAATTGGTAAGAGTGATTTACATTTAAAAAGTGATTTTGAGAGATAGAATTTATGTTATTATATGATTTTTTGCAATCTGTGTGATCTTCCTTTTGTATGGCAGTCAGTTAACTCAGTTGCTTAGACGATTGGTTTGCAAAGCAGTGATGCTAATGGCATGGGTTCAATTCCTGCACCAGATGAAGTGACCATGAGGGACTCTCCATGCCTGAGGCATGGTGACCCTCAGGTGACTGGTGCTGATTTAAAACTCTCTCTAATGAGACAGCAATGCTATGGTGATTTTACCTCTTTTACCTTTCTTGTGGTTTCTCTCATGTATTTTCCTTTTGTAGATTTAGAGTATGGAGATTGCGAGCTCGGTGAAGCAATGGTTAATAGCTAGCTGGTGACTTTTTCTTTTAATTGAGGTTCTAGCTGGAGGCTGCCCACAATCAATTTTGCTCCTGTTCTCGTCATCAGCTCTAATCCAGACAGCCTTGGTTTATTGGACATGATTTGATACAAGCTGTTTGCGTTGAAATCCAATCATGCAAAATACTGTTGCTAGAAAGCTGTAATCACGTGTCTTCTATTGAGGTGTGCTCACTGTGTAGGGAGACATCATAAGTTCACTTCAACGATAAAGACTTTGCGTACAATGCAGGGTTCAACACATGGAACATGGTGTCAGAAATTATACTAAAGTGAAGTTTCTGAGCCATAAGAAAGATTAGCTACAGACAGGTATGTGCAGAGCTTCCACTTTTTTATTGGTGGGGGGGAGTGAAAACAAAGCAAGCCATAGATAAATCATTGATTAAGAGAAAATGACTGCAATTTTTGCCCTTACCAAATCCCATTCGAATTGCAGCGAATAAGAAGCAAAATGGGAATTTATTCCATGTACAATGGCTGAACAATTAAATAGCAACAAATTGTTCAAACATAAAAAGGTAGAAAATAGGAGCAGGAATAGGCCATTTGGCCTTTCAAGCCTGCTCTGCTATTAGTTATGATCATGGCTGATCACCCAACTCACAGCCTGCTCCCCCATATCCTTTTTGATCCCTTTAGCCCCAAGTGCAAGATCCAAATCCTCCTTGAAATCGTAAAACATTTTGGCCTCAACTACGCTGTGCTGTAGTAACTCCACAGCTCACCACAGTCTGGGTGAAGAAATTTCTCCTCATCTCAGTTCTAAATAATTTGTTCCATATTCCTAAACTAGTGATCCCCTAGTTCTGATTCTGGATTCCTCATCCTTGGGAATATCTAACGACCCTGTCTACTTCTGTTTAAAAATTTAAAAATACTGCATCTGCCATTCATTTGCTCACTCAGTGGCCAGTGTAAATCACACTGAGTCATCTCTGCATCCTCACTGCTCACCTTCCCACTCAGCTTTGTAACCTGCAAATTGAGAGAGTTCATGCATTTTAAATCCTTTACCTCGATCAGGAACATTTATTGTGAAAGCTGTGGTCTTAGCACTGACTCCTGTGGTGCCCATTTGTCACTGCCTGCCATTTGGAAAAAGATCCATTGATTCCTACTGTTTCCGATATGCGAACCCGTTTTCCATTAATCTCCACACGCTACTCCCAATCAAATGCATTTTAATTTGATATGCTAATCTCTCATTGGGTACATGATTGATATAAAGAAAAAGAACAAGAACAAAGAAAATTACAGCACAGAAACAGGCCCTTCGGCCCTCCAAGCCTGCGCCGATCCAGATTCTCTATCTAAACCTGTCGCCTATTCGAAGGATCTGTATCCCTCTGCTCCCTGCCCATTCATGTATCTGTCTAGATACATCTTAAATGACTCTATTGTGCCCGCCTCTACCACCTCCGCTGGCAACGCATTCCAGGAACACATCACCCTCTGCGTAAAGAACTTTCCACGCATATCTCCCTTAAACTTTTCCCCTCTCACCTTGAAATCGTGACCCCTGGTAATTGAGTCCCCCACTCTGGGAAAAAGACCCTTGCTATCCACCCTGTCTATACCTCTCATGATTTTGTAGACCTCAATCAGGTGCCCCCTCAACCTCTGTCTTTCCAATGTAAATGATCCTAATCTACTCAACCTCTCTTCAAAGCTAGCACCCTCCATACCAGGCAACATCCTGGTGAACCTCCTCTGCAACCTCTCCAAAGCATCCATATCCTTTTGGTAATGTGGCGACCAGACCTGTACGCAGTATTCCAAATGTGGTCGAACCAACGTCCTATACAACTGTAACATGAACTGCCAACTCTTGTACTCAATACCCCGTCTGATGAATGAAAGCATGCCGTATACCTTCTTGACCCTCTATCCACTTGCGTTGCCACCTTCAGGGTACAATGGACCCGAACACCCAGATCTCTCTGTGCATCAATTTTCCCCAGGGCTTTTCCATTTACCATATGGATTGCATTTGAATTGGATCTTCCAAAATGCATCGCCTCACATTTGCCTGGATTGAACTCCATCTGCCATTTCTCCGCCCAACTCTCCAATCTATCTATATTCTGCTGCATTCTCGGACAGTCCCCTTCACTATCTGCTACTCCACCAATCTTAGTGTCATCTGCAAACTTGCTAATCAGACCATCTATACCTTCCTCCAGATCATTTATTTATATCACAAACAACAGTGGTCCCAACACGGATCCCTGTGGAACACCACTGGTCACAGTTCTCCATTTTGAGAAACTCCCTTCCACGACAACCCTCTGTCTACTGTTGCCCAGCCAGTTCTCTATCCATCTAGCTAGTACACCCTGGACCCCATGCGACTTCACTTTCTCCATCAGCCTACCATGGGGAACCTTATCAAACGCCTTACTGAAGTCCATGTATATGGCATCCACAGCCCTTCCCTCATCTATCAACTTTGTCACTTCCTCAAAGAATTCTATCAAGTTGGTAAGACATGACCTTCCCTACACAAAACCATGCTGCCTATCACTAATAAGCCCATTTTCTTCCAAATGTAAATAGATCCTATCCCTCAGTATTTTCTCCAGCAGTTTCCCCACCACTGACGTCAGGCTCACCGGTCTATAATTACCTGGATTATCCTTGCTACCCTTCTTAAACAAGGGGACAACATTAGAAATTCTCCAATCCTCCGGGACCTCACCCGTACTCAAGGATGCTGCAAAGATATCTGTTAAGGCCCCAGTTATTTCCTCTCTCGCTTCCCTCATAATCGGGGATAGATCCCATCTGGACCTGGGGACTTGTCCACCTGAATGCCTTTTAGAATACCCAACGCTTTCCCCCCCTCCTTATGCCGACTTGACCTAGAGTAATCAAACATCTATCCCCAACCTCAACATCCGTCATGTCCCTTTCCTCGGTGAATACCGACGCAAATTACTCATGAAGAATCTCACTCATTTTCTCTGACTCCTCGCATAACTTCCCTCCTTAGTCCTTGAGTGGGCCAACCCTTTCTCTAGTTACCCTCTTGCTCCTTATGTATGAATAAAAGGCTTTGGGATTTTCCTTAACCCTGTTTGCTTAAGATATTTCATGACCCCTTTTAGCCCTCTTAATTCCTCATTTCAGATTGGTCCTACTTTCCCGATATTCTTCCAAAGCTTTGTCTGTTTTCAGTCACCTAGACCTTACATATGCTTCCTTTTTCCTCTTTGCTAGTCTCTCAATTTCACCTGTCATCCATGGTTCCCTAATCTTGCCCTTTCTATCCCTCATTTTCACAGGGACATGTCTGTCCTGCACTCTAATCAACCTCTCTTTAAAAGCCTCCCACATATCAAATGTGGATTTACCCTCAAACAGCTGCTCCCAATCCACATTCCCCAGCCCCTGCTGAATTTTGCTTTAGTTGGCCTCCCCCCAATTCAGCACTCTTCCTTTAGGACCACTCTCATCCATGAGTATTGTAAAACTTATGGAATTGTGATCACTATTCCCAAAGTAATCCCCCTACTGAAACTTCAACCACCTGGCCGGGCTTATTCCCCAACACCAGGTCCAGTATGGCCCCTTCCCGAGTTGGACTATTTACATACTGCTCCATAAAACCCTCCTGGATGCTCCTTACAAATTCTGCTCCATTTAAACCCCTAACACGAAGTGAATCCCAGTCAATCCTATCGCCACCACCCTGTTGCTCCTACATCTTTCCATAATCTGTCTACATATTTGTACCTCTATCTCACACTTGCTGTTGGGAGGCCTGTAGTACAGCCCCAACATTGTTACCGCACCCTTCCTATTTCTGAGCTCTGCCCATATTGCCTCACTGCTCGAGTCCTCCATAGTGCCCTCCTTCAGCACAGCTGTGATATCCTCTTTGACCAGTAATGCAACTCCTCCACCCCTTTTACCTCCCTCTCTATCCCGCCTGAAGCATCTATATCCTGGGATATTTAGTTGCCAATCTTGCCCTTACCTCAACCAAGTCTCAGTAATAGCAATAATATCATATTCCCAGGTACTAATCGAAGCCCTAAGTTCATCTGCCTTACCTACTACACTTCTCGCATTAAAACAAATGCACCTCAGACCACCTGTCCCTTTGTGTTCATCATCTGCTCTCTGCCTATTCTTCCCCTTAGTCACACTGACTTCATTATCTAGTTCCTTACAGGCTTTAGTTACTACCTCCTTACTGTCCACTAACCTCCTCATTTGGTTCCCATCCCCCTGCCACATTAGTTTAAACCCTCCCCAACAGCGTTAGCAAAAGCAGCCCCTCGGACATTGGTTCCAGTCCTGCCCGGGTGTAGATTTGTAATAGTCCCACCTCCCCCAGAACCGGTCCCAATGTCCCAAAAATCTGAACCCCTCCCTCCTGCACCATCTCTCAAGCCACTCATTTATCCTGCCTATTCTTTCATTTCTACTCTGACTCGCACGTGGCACTAATAGCAATCCTGAGATTACTACCTCTGAGGTCCTACTTTTTAACTTGGCTCCT